GTGCTAGGCAAGGGGATTTATCAATGTGCCATTCTCTTTCTCAGGGAATCTTGGTGACTAGCTCTCAGAGGCCCTGTGTGGCCCTGTGGTAAGATATGACTAAGGAACTGACAGAAAGGAATGACACAAGGGAAACTGCACTTCCCAGAGACCCAAGGGAGGGAAATTCATGTCCTATGAAGTCAAGACACGAAACTATTTCTTTAGAGAAGATTCTCCACCCAGGGCAGTCAACCCACATTCAGCCACAGGTACAAAGGTGGGCCTGTTGTAGACCACATAAAGACTTCCATACAAAAAGGAGGACACGGCTGGGCATAGCGGTGGCACATGCCTGGAATCCCAGTGCTTCGGAGGCCAAGGAGGGAAAATTGATGCAAGCATCGGGTCAGCCTGGGTTACAACAAAACGAAACAAGTGAAAATAATAAAAGCCAAACAAAACCTCTGGTTTCTGGGATTCTTTTGAAAAGTCAGTCAGTCTAATGCCAGCAGTGACACCTGGATATAGCAGCAGTTGGCTCGGAACCAGGAAGCTGCGGCCCTTTGATGTGGTGTGCAAGCTCCAATACAATGCAGTCTCCATTATTCCCTAAAGTCCCTCTCCCAGCCTTTCTCTCTGCCTTGCTGTCCCAGCTAGCTGCATAGGCATTGCAGTTTGACCCCAAAGGTGCCTCCCAAAAACCTTCATGGATGAATGGAAGGGCCCTGCTGCCTCCTGGTGGTCACAATTCAAACATTTCCTGAATTAGCATCAGCAATACCCCTACACCATTCACACCCTTTCTTTTTGTCTCAATTCTTTTTTTAAAAAAAGTCTCGTTTAATTCTTTAAAAAATATTTAGATTTATCTATTTTAATTTTATGTATGTGAGCGTTTTATCTGTGTATACATGTGTACCACCTGTGTGCCCTAAGAGGTCAGACAAGGGTATCAAATTTCCTGTAACCAGAGTTACAGACAGTTGTGAGCCACCATGTGGGTGCTGGCAATCAGACTCAGGTCCTATGCAAGAACAAGTGTCCTTAACTGCTGAACCATCTCTCAGACTCTTGTTTGATTCTTTTTTGTTTGTTTGTTTGGTTGGTTTGGTTTGATTTTTGAGACAGGGTTTCTCTGTGTAACAACCCTAGCAGTCCTGGAACTCACTCTGTAGATCAGGCTGGCCTTGAACTCACAGAGATTCACCTGCCTCTGTCCCTGAGAGCTGGGATTAAAGGTGTGCACCACCAAGCCTACCCTCTTTTTTTAAATGCTGTTACTTATTTTTTGAGAATTTTATACAACATATTTCAATACAACTCATTCCATAGCATCTCCCACCTCCCTAACCACCCAATTTCATGTTATTTTCCTCTCTTAAAAAAAAAAAACCTGGGTGGTAGTAGTCCCACACCTTTAATCCCAACACTTAGGAGGCAGAAGCAGGTGGATCTCTGTGAATTCGAGGCCAGCCTGATCTACAGAGTGAGTTCCAGGAAAGCCAGAGCTACACAGAGAAACCCTGTCTTGAAAAACCGAAAGAAAAATTAAAAATTAAATATAAATTAATTAAGTAGTTAAAAACAAAAAACAGGCATGGTAGCACATGCCTTTAACTCAACAGGCAGAGGCAATCAGATGAGTCCCAGACCAGCCAGGGCTATATAGTAAGACTTTGTCTCAATAAATAAATGAATAAATAAATAAATAAAAATTAAGGAAAACAAAATACCAACCAACTATAGAGACTGATTTGTGTTGGCTAGCCATTTCTGAGCATGGTTGATATATCCAGTGTCACTTTATTGAAGAAAACTGATTCCTTCCCTGTCTCTCTTTGGTTTTCAAGACAGGGTTTCTCTGTGTAGCCCTGGCTGTCTTGGGAATCACTCTGTAAAACAAGCTAGCCTCAAACTCACAGAGATCCATCTGCCTCTGCCTCCAGAGTGTTGGGATTAAAGGCGTGTGCCACCACCACCCAGCATTTGATTTTCCCTCTCCCAATAGCTATCAGTTTCAAACAGCTTCTTGGTTAGGGGTGAGACTCTGTGCCCACTTCCCCTCCCCCATGCTGGGATTTCCTCTGGCTCAAGTTGCTTCAGGTCTTGGCATGCTGTCACAGTCTCTATGAGTTTGAACACACATCTGCCCTGATGTGTCTGCACTGGGCTTCCTAGAACCAGGCTTCTTCTAGCTGGAGATCTCCTTTCTCCCATTTGGTTTTCCAATCCTACTTCTCTCCAAGGTCCCAAATCCATTCCCATCTCTTCCAGGAATCCCCCCCACCCCCACCACCACCACCACGACCACCTCAACCCTCTCAATCTCCCCTTGTCTGAGCACTTCTAAGCCTGATTCAAGAAAGTCCTATGACTTTCATAAGGACAGGGTTTCAGTGTTCCTGAACCTTCTGTGAGTTATCTATGCTGTCAGTATGTATTGAACACCTCTAACGTGGGGCTCATGGCAGAGGTTTAGAAGGTTCTGGAAGGTAGTAGCATGTCCTGTCCTTGTAGAGTGTAGTCATCTATGGGCACAGCAGGCACCTAGCCAGAGCCAGGTGATTTCCCAAAAACTGCAGCCCTGAGCATTTCACTCTCTTTTTGACTTCTTCACTGGCTCCCATGCACACTCTGAAGCTCTCTACCTTGCTGACTTGACCTCTCTCTCTCTCTCTCTCTCTCTCTCTCTCTCTCTCTCTCATTATTTATTTATTATGTATACAGTGTTCTGTCTTCATGTGTGCCTGCAAGCCAGAAGAGGGCATCAGATCTCATCAGATCTCATTATAGATGATTGTGAGCTGCTATGTGGTTGCTGGGAATTGAACGCAGGACCTCTAGAAAAAGTCAATGCTCTTAACCTCTGAACCATCTCTCCAGTCCCCAACTAATATCTCTTACTGCCTCTGCCACACCCAGCCATCCCTGAGTTCTGACTTCGTAGTATTTCAATTCTGTCATCTACTGCCACCACTAGCTTTTGCATATGCCCTTCTGACCATCTAAACTCAGGTGCCCATTGAGTCTGAAGTCATATATCACTTCCTTTAGGAAGCTTTCCTTGGTCACTGCGTCCATGTCAGCGCTCCACACCTCGCTTGGGCTCCAGCTTCTGCCCTCTCCTGATACTTATACTCGGAACCGAGGGCTGACTTGTCTACTTCCCTGCCAAGACTGTGGGTTCAGAAACGACACAGCTCATCTGTTATATACCCAGCATCTATGCCCAAATCTTAGAGGCACCAAAGGTGTCGACACTCAAATAAACGCATGAATGAACAAGGTGCCATTTTCATATCGAGCAAGACCAGTGAATGAATGGTATACTAGCCAATGGCAGGAGTCATAGAAAGTCCTTTATTGCCAGGAACATTCATGTCATGTCATGCATCATGTTAATCAAGAATCCACTCATCTCCCCTTATGTAGTGCAATGTCCTTGTATCCTAAACTAAGTTGGATCTCAAAGGGTTAATGAGTTCAGACTTCACTTTGAGGAGCAAGGATACCATGTGAACTATCCTTCAACTCCTGGGAGTTTTGTTCCATTCTTAGGCAACTATCTTGGTGAGTATGCACGTGACAGCCCAAGAGTGAAATAAATAAGACACAGTGCGATGGCTCTAGGCATTGGGGGTAAAAAGGCACATTACACAGAGTCCCCTGGAGAAAATCCAGGCTACGCTCCATCTTCTCAGTATGCCTTCTCTCACTCTCCAGTGACTTTTAATCTCACCCCTGGTCCGAGAAACCATAACCCACATGTACTGAGTGCATTTTTATTTCCCCTTCATGAGATAGCCTTGGTTCTAAGTATATTTCATTTTTCTCTCTTATGACTACAAGAACATCCAATTTTGTTCGGGTCCCCTTTAATGGCACTTAATAAATACATATTCTGGGACCTGACAGAACAGGCTGTCCTATTTCAAACTGCCTCTAACGCTTCCTGCTTCGACAGCTAGTATAAAGCTCGGCTGGGATTCAACCTATCTTACCCTTTCCCACCTCTGCCCCCATGTCTAACTGTTCACTTCGTCATGTCTAGGGCAGAGGTCTTTAAAGTGGTTGTGTGTGAGATTCACCTGGTTACCTTCCTGAAGCCTAAGGCCATGGCCATGGCCAGGACAAAGACGTCAGCTTTCTCTGGGTGGGCTCCTGATTTGCTGCAGTTCTACCCAGGTCATTGCAAGCCATGGTAAGAACCCCAAGCTAGCGTCTCAACACACAATGAACTGTCAATAAAAACGTGTGGAAGCCTCGGGTACGGCTCCCGCTGTGTCACCTGTCTGTCTGTGCTTCCTATTTTTACCAGGAGGCTGAGAAGGAAACAGAAAGGAAAAGTGAACTGAGAACACTTGAGTGAACCTGAGATTGGGAAAGGGACTGGGGAGTCTTGCTCTTGCATCATACAGTCTCCATGCTTTCACAAGCCCAGAGGAGGCACATTACAGACCATCTGACACAGACAGGGATGACTTTCTCAAGAGCCCTTCAAAAGCCAGAGATAACAAACAGGCACTTGAGCTGAAAAGCAGATATAGTCTTGAAAATACTGAAGTAGCCACCTGTTTTACACTCAGTCTCAAGAAGGTTGATTCCAAGTTTGTCAGCTGTACAAAGATCACAGGGGATTACCCTTTTCTCTGTCTTGGGATCTTCCAATGACTCTTGGCCTAAAGCAACAGCCTAAGGACATTCATTGTTCAGTAGTGACTACACCCAACACTGCTCCAGTGGGTCTCTCATCCTGGAACAGGATCTAGTTTTGAGGGACTTCTGTTTCCAGATTTGAGAAATGCCTTGCTCACCAAATATGGATTTTGGCTACTTAGACTGTACTCTTGTTCTGTACCATGCAGCCGTCAACTTCAGACAATGGCTGTGTATTTGTCATGGTCCCATGTGATGATATCACCTAGTAATGTTGTAATCTTGTTAGTTTGCACACTCTATGGTGTTCACAAAAAAAAAAAAAAAAAAAAAAAAAAAAAAAAAAAAAAAAAAGCCCCTAACAGGGTTTGCCTCAAAATGTGTCTATTGTTAATCCATACTGACTGGGCCCCTAGGTTTAAGGTAAAGGGCACACTGTTAGCATAGACATGAGAAGAGAGGTGGCCACAGGCCCGCTTCAGTCTGCTTATCCAGGCTAGCCAATGGCTGGGCCACGCCAACACCACTAACCGTATTTGCATGGGTGTCACACTTCCTGGTTGACAAGGGGCCTCTGCATCCTCCTCATGTCATCTTTACTGTATCCTGTGACTTAGTTCTTTCTAGGTGGAAAACTTAACCACTGAGCCATTTCTCCAGCCCTCCCCCCTAGGTGGAAAACTGTAGTTGTATCCTATGCCTAAGCCCCCACATCCATCTGACTGAAGCTCTCTGCTGCCGCCAGACAAACCTAGGCCACGTGGGTTCCCCTGGCTCTTCATCCGGAGCTGGGAAACCAAGCTATTCTTCACCTATCCAACCCACCAGGCCAGTAGTCACCTATCTCACAGAGCTTCCACCGTGACTGAGTGCCAAGTCCCATTGTCTCCTCGTCCAAAGAAAACAGCAGCAGGATACACGATTGGCATCAGCCTCACACACCCCGCTCATCCACCTTCAAATTCCCCTCTTCCCTGGAACCACCTCAGGGTTTGTACACACATTCCAGAACTGTGCTTAGGTCATACCCATTCCCAGAGCCAGTAGAGAATCACCTGGACCCATGGCTTCAAGTATGAGCACGATTTTCCACAGTTCCCTGTCCATAGTAGTAACTCAACTCAAGGCAGCAAGAAAGAAAAGGTAACCAGTAAGCAATGGTGGCTCCTGGCAGTGCTGTGGGAAGTGCACTACTGAGGCAGGCGGCTCTTCTTCAGCGATGCCCCCACGTGTGTGCTACATTCATCCTAGACATGAAAGAGGCAAGAGGTACAAGTAGGACCAGCTTCAAGCTGTGGCAAGCCCTGGCTGGTCAGTTGTGGCGTTGAGATGGATTCTTTATGCAGACACGAGTGATGATGCTTGAACCACCCACTATGGTCACCCACACCAGGCATTCTGTAAGGCCTTGTCACCACTGCCTGCTGCCTTCTCAATGCCCTTCCCTCCTCTCACCCCCATTTTGCTTTACATCATGACTGTTTGGTCACACAACCTTGAAGCCTCTCCCTTTCCTGAAAAATGGGGGCTCCAAAGAGGGCATGCTAAGAGGGCAGGCTCCAGCCCCAGGGAGTTGGGCTCGGGGTCCTGGCCAGAAAGTTGGAAGGCACATATCCCCTGTGTCCATTCACTTCCACCAGGCTCCATTCTGGGTTCCCCTTCTTGTCTTGGGCTTCTAGGATTGTTACAGGCTGGCCTGCCTGTAGACTCAGTTCATGCGTGCTCCTGGCCACAAAAGGGTACACTGCCACCACCTGAAACACATGGGAGTGACACAGAAAAGGTCAGGGTGGTAGATAGCTGAGTTTAATCCATCAAGGATGTCATCCTATACTCCCATCCTCACATAACACTCTAGTTTCTATTGCTGGTCGTACATCACTTCCAAAGAACATTCCTAGCACTAAAGACGCTATGCCTGACAGCAAGCACTAAAGATGCTATGCCTACTAGCACTGTAGCTAGTAATTCCTGGGTGGCCACCACTGTTCTAACACTTTCCTAGGCTTTGGTTTTTTACAACAATTTCATCCCTGTAGTTTTTTGGATTTTTTTTTCCTTCAGAAATTGAGACTTAGAGAAGTCAAGGAACTCCTCAGTCACAACAATCATATAACTGTAAAATCAGGCCTGCATGATTTCAGTATAGGGACTTTTATTTGTTTGTTTTTTGTTGTTGTTGTTTTGAAGCAGGGTTTCTCTGTGTAACCGTCCCTGGCTGTCCTAGAACTGAATTTGTAAACCAGACTGGCCTCTAACTCTCAGAGACCTGCCTTCCTCTGCCTCCCTAGTGTTGGGATTAAAGGTGTGCACCACCACTGCTCAGAAGAGCAGGTATACTTGAACCCCTGCAGCCACACTGGTAGGTAGCCTCAGTGGCCTCTCCATTCCCAAACTTAGGGAGTTGGTTTCTCTGTCCAGCGTAGTTTCTAACCTAGGTATAGTGAGGTCTGGGAGACATGGCTCCTTTTTAGGGCCAAGCATTGAACTGGAAAAAAACAATAAGAAGGGAGGGCATTAATCAAACTACTGTCTAACTTCTATATGCCTCGTTGTCATCACCTACAAGTGTCAACAACAGCATCCTACCCTCTGGGTTATTGGGAAAACAGAATGGATGAGTGCCTGAGCAGGCTTTTTACAGTGCCTGCTGCAGAATAAGGGCACAGTCAATGCAGCTTGCTCTGACTCTTTACCATTAGTGTGCCTGATGAGGGCCAAGCCTCGGAGCCATAAGCATCATGGGAAGGTACCTGGGAGTCCCACAGAGAGTCCAGGAATGGAGGAAAGGACAGATGGACCACTGAGATACTAGGCAGAGCTTTTGGATGGTTGCAGCTACCTCACTTTCCTCATGGGGGAGGGGTACTGGGTAGGCTGGTCAGGTCCCTAGTGGGATTCTTGGGGATTCTACGTAGATCTGGCTGACATTAAAGGAGGTAGGTGTGGTGGAAGTTGTATACCTCCATGGACGCTGGCTCAAGGCTGCATGATGCCCTGACCCAAGGCATCCCATACCTGTCCTCAGCATCTCTGGATCCCACCCCTCTCTGTCCAGTCTTTCTGTCACTCATCTCTCATCTTTGTGGCTCTCCCTTGGCTGAGAGCAGACTCTGTGATTGTCTACAGCGGGACCTGCTTGGCTTTACTGATCTACCCAATCCTCCCAAGCCACCACCCCCCCCAAGGGGCTATTTGAGAGGGTCAAGGATCCCTAGCCCTGTAAAGCCAGACCCTTCAGTGCACTGGGGACTAAGCACCAGGACCTTGCACAGCCTCAGTAATCTCTCCCTCCCCAGATCTGAGGGGTTATTCTGCCCAGGACAAGCACTCTACTACTGAGCTGTATCCCTACCACAGATTCTTTCCTTCCTTCCTTTCGATGTTATTCATATCCCATAATATTCATCCCTTGAAAGTATACAATTCAGTAGCTTTTAGTATACTCACAGATGCCTGTAACCATCACCACTGTAATTTCAAAATACATTGGGACAAAAGTGACAAAAGAAAGTCCATACCAGTTAGCAATCTCTCCCACACCCCTCACCTCAGCCTCTGCCAACCAAAAACCTAGTCAGGCAATAGTAGTACATGCCTTTAATCCCAGCACAACGGAGGCAGAGGCAGGTGGATCTATGTGAGTTCAAGGCCAGCCTGGTCACAAAGGGAGTTGCAGGATAGTCAGGGCTATTACACAGGGAAATCCTGTCTCAAACACAAACACACACACACACACACACACACACACACACACACACACACACACACAAATGACTTTTCTTTCTCCACCAATTTACCTAGTTTGAACATTCATGTAATGGGATCCTACCCCATGTGTTTCTGGCCTTTCTTTCACTTAGCAAGCTCATCTTTGTTGTAGCATGCCCATACTGACCTACTTTGTTCATTTTTATATCAAAATAATACTCTATTCCACAGTGCCATAGAACCCTAACCTCCAGTAATAAGCGCTACTGTCTTCATCAGAACAGCTGTGACTACTTGCAAGAAGCACACAAGTTCATAGGAGTGTGAGGAAGAACACTGGAGCCTCATCTGAGATTCCAGCGACTTCCTCCTGCACCTCTCAGCCATTTGAGTGTGATTCTACACCAACCGCACGTGGTCTCATGGCATCTGGAGGTGCTAAATTATATAGACAGTGGAAGGTTAACTGAAAGGAGGATTCCGTCTCTACAGCTTTGGGGAAGTCATCATTTATGGTGGGGTGAGACTTACCAGCTACTTTGGGGTCACCCACACTTCTAAGAGTAACATCTCACCCATCTCCTATAAGTAAGCCCAATAAAGTCACAGGTCCCCACTTTGGTTTGCTGTTGGTGCCCCACGAGGAGGTAGTAGACATTTGCTTCCATCTTTCCAGGGAAAGAGTTCTAAAAACATGGCTATATCATAGCTGGTTTACCTTATGATGGATACTAGGGGTTTGTTGTTGTTGTTTCCGAGACAGGGTTTCTCTGTGTAGCTTTGGAGCCTGTCCTGGGACTCACTCTGCAGACCAGACTAGCCTCGAGCTCTGCCTGCCTCTGCCTCCCAAGCACTGGGACTACAGGTATGCACTACCATTGCCAGGTGATACTTGGGTTCTTAGAAGGAATGCTTCCATGAACAAGCGTGACTATGCTCCTCCTGCTTTTGTATGGAAGACTGACACCTTGTTCAAGGATCACATGGTCCTGGTAGCCCACCCCTGCAGACTTTGCCACAAGTACCTTGCTACATCCTGCCCTCTCTCTTCTCCCAGGCTCTGGTTTCATTGATTCTTCGCCTATCTCTGGGCCTCTCTGCATGTGTTATATGCTTTCTGAGAACTCATGTCCCAGGTACCCCACTTAACCCAGTTAACTTCTATGTACCCTTCCTATGTGAGGCAAACACATTCTCCTTAGGAAGGCCTCTCTTTTCCTGGAACTTGGGACTCTGCCACAGCAGGGAACTTTTGTTTTGTTTTGTTTTGTTTTGTTTTTCGAGACAGGGTTTCTCTGTGGCTTTGGAGGCTGTCCTGGAACACTCTCTTATAGACCATGCTGGTCTCAAACTCACAAAGATCTGCCTGCCTCTGCTGGGGTTAAAGGTGTGCACCACACGCCCAGCCACAGCAGGGAACCTTGCATTTACTCACACTCTTGCTGATAATCTAATCACTGTTCCCCCCAGGTTGTAAACTTGAATAGGACCATGACTTCTGTCCATCATTGCCACTCTCATTTAGTACCACCCCTGGCAAATGCTGAGTGAATGGAGGACTCCTGTTTGCTCTGCTGGTGGGGGTGGCACTGACAGATTAACTCCCTTGTGTTCACATGGGAAGTCTCTCTCTCTGGGTTCTATCCCTGGCCAAGATAAGAACTTATCACTGGTCACAGCCTGACTTCTCAAGGAGCAGGCCCTGGGGAAGCAAGCCCTCAGCCCTCTCCCAGACTCACCTGGGTCATGGTTGGGACAGTGGGGACAGAGGGTTGGGTGGGCTCTGGAGTTGAAAGCCAGCAGTCTTCATGTATCCCCGTCTGGCCTCTGAGCTCCTTCTCACTGGGAACAATATGGTGGTATAGCTGAAGTTTTCCAGCTGGCACGTACCCCCGGTGTCCTAGGAAACAGGCAGAAAGTTCAATCACTGGCTGCCACTCAGTTTCCTTTCCTTTCAGTGGTGGGGAAAGCCAGCAAATGTAAGTGCCTAAGTGTCTGGCTTCCCAGCATTAAAGGGATGGCACAAGGTCATCCGGGAACCCTGAGAGTTCCCTCCCACCTCCCCACTCTGTATTCACTGCTCCTAGCTGCTGCTTACTCACCCCCAGTGACAGAGGCTCTCCAGTGGGACAGCCCACAGGATGAAGTTCATCCCTGAGCTGGTATGACAACAGTTTCTAATGGGTGGCATTACTGCTCATGGTCCTTTAGTGGCCACATGGAGCAAGGCTGCTTCCCCAGCTCTCCTCAGAACCAGGCCTGCCTTCTACTGGTGTCCTTCCTGGGTCCTTCTCACCAGCACCTATCCTCGCACTGCCCAGCTGCTGTCACCATGAGTATCCATCACTTCCTGCTTCCCAGGTGGTTACAGTCTTCATACCAGTCTGAGATCTGTCTGGGTCACTGTCACTGTCTCTGTCTCATGCTGATGAAGCTGAGCTCAGAGAAGCTCTATGCTCCCTGTGACCACCCAATTAGGAAAGCCCTGGAACTTTCCTCTAAAACTCCTTAGATGTGTTTTTCGATTGTACCACTTTCTATCTTATTTATTTCTTAAAATTATTATTATTATTTTAGAAGAGTTCTCACTGTATAGTTCCTAAATCTCTCTACAGAGCTAGGATGGCCTTGAACTTGGGGTCGTTCTCCTGCTTCTGAGTCCCAAATGCTGGGATTATAGGTATACACCACCATACAATGCTCTACACAATTTTTAAAACTGACTTGCTTTTTAAAGCTTGGCCTTATGCCATGCAACAATATCAACACAATCATGAGTTTATGGACCAGCTGCATTTTATAATACACATAAAAGTATGTAAATAACTATTATATCACTGTGAGGCAGTGAAACAACTGTCTATAGGTCTCCCACAATAATCCTATGCAACCCTCATATTTAGAATATGCTGCTGGGCTATTTTGCTATCCTGGGCTCACAGTACAGCTTCCCTTCATCCCAGTTACACATGACCCCCAGACCTTAGTGGCACATCCCAAGACCATGACCAGTAGAAGTCTTACTGTCCCAGGCCTAAATCAGATTCTGAGAGTGTGGCTGGAAACCAAGCATCCCTTCTCAGCACACATCTGTATTTTTCAAGGTACTCTTCTAGCTCCTTCCACACATCTTATCACCCAATAGCTTGTAAGTTCTCTAAGGCTTGTCTTCCTTGCACAGCACCCAGGAACTGGATGGGAAAGGCTACCCTGACTCTTATTGGCATTTCATGCACCACCGAATCACTGTAAGCTGATTGAGCTACTGTATCTGTCACGGGGCTCATCCCTCCTGAATTTGCACAGCCAGATTGGCACACAAGAGTATCCGTGCTTCCCTACCAGCTTCTGGCAACTGGCTTTCCCAAAGGAGATGAAGGAGTCACAGAGGCTGACATACCCCCTGTGTCCACCAACCAGCGACTGTTGTTGCCTTTGGTATCCTTGTTTTGTAGGAGGGCCACGATTTGGCCTCGTGGCAGTGTCAGGTCCAGAGTCCCAGCCCCACTGATGTTGCTTGTCACCTGGTATAGCTTCCCGGGGCCATATCTGGTCAGGAGAGCCTGAAGCTGGTACTCAGAGCCTGGGAGGAGTGGCTGAGAGAGTAGACACAGACACCGGAGCTTGAGTTAAGTGTCAAGGTTTGTGTCAACATGAGCTGAGACCTAAGAATCTTGTCCAGCCCTACCTCTGTCACTGAAAGTTCTATCTGATGGGGATAACCGTGCCCTCTACTACATGGCTGGCTCTCAGCTTCCAATGGAATTTTAGAAGACACCTCTAATTAATTCAAGTGTGGATGTCTGTCAGTTATAGAACTGGTAGGACTGGGCCCTAAATTCTGTTTATAACCTATGCTTAGTCATTCCACAGGAAATGTCTTATCCAGGTTTTTGAACAATACCAGGTTGTGGGCTTCATGATGTACCAGGCCTAAGCCATATGCCATCTTCAGAGGCCAATACAGGAAATACAGGATGGATGAAGGACAGCTAGCTATGACTCAGGGAGTTTCCACTCTACAAGTATTCGGCACCTTCTGTATTCAAGGCACCAGATTTTTTGTTGTTGTTGTTGTTGTTGTTTTGTTTTTCAAGACAGGGTTTCTCTGTGTAGCTTTGGATCCCATCCTGGAACTCACTCTGTAGACCAGGCTAGCCTTGAACTCACAGAAATATACCTACCTCTGCCTCCCAAGTACTGGGATTAATGGTATGTGCCGCCACCACCGCCCTGACAGAATATTTTGTACAGTAAGAACACTATGCCCTGGCACAGCAAAAACTTACAGCAGAGTTTTGCTCAGACAGAAATTACCATCTAGCTGGGAGAAGAGATTTGGGAGTGAGGATCTAAGCTTATTCCCAAACTGCCTGCCTGGCATTTCTTTTGTTTTTCCATTCACTATTCTCAACAAATGTGTTATCAAGAAGGGCTTCCAGTATGATTATCTCCTTTTGTGAAACCAAAGAGAACCCAATGTGTAAACTAAATTACCATATTCTTCACTTATTCTGTATGTATGCATGTATGTACTCACTGTACTGCACATGGTTATTTTGGAGTAGGGAGGTGTTAGGTATAGGGCAGGTAGACATCCATGTCCATCGGGGACATCTGGGCAAAGACCCTTGCCATAGTGTTGATGCAGAGTCAGCATTAAGAACCAGGAAGTAGGGCTGGAGAGATGGCTCAGAGGTTAAAAGCACCGACTGCTCTTCCAGAGGTCCTGAGTTCAATTCCCAGCAACCACATGATGGCTCACAACCACTGTTATGAGATCTGGTGCCCTCTTCTGGTGTGCAGATACACATGGAAGCAGAATGTTGTATACATAATATAAATAAAATCTTAAAAAAAAACAGGAAGTAAAAACAAAACAAAACCAAACACAAACAAAACAAAAACAGGATGCACACCTGTGATCTCAGCACTTGGGAGGCAGAGGCAGGGGGATCTCTGACTTCAGGGCCAGCCTTGGCTATGCAGTGAGATCTGTCTCAAAAGCCAGCCTCTCCCCCCCACAAAAAAAAAAAAACTGCCACTAAAAATCATAAAACCAGGATGTAAGACTTTGTGCCTTCTTTATCAAACCCATCCAGTCTCAACTTGGATAGTGTTAGAATACTATTTTCAGGTGTGTGACTTTTGTTTATGCTGCATTTGTTTAACTATGTGAAGCTGTGATTCTTTGCCTGTCTAAAACACCTGATGATCTAATAAAGAACTGAATGGCCAATAGCAAGGCAGGAGCAGGCACAGGGGTGGGGCTGGCAGACAGAGAGAATAAATGGGAGAATCGTGGAGAGAGGAGACATCAGGGGTCAGCCACCCAGTCATCCGGCTACACAGCAGTCCACAGAGTAAGAGGGAGAATTACAGAAGTAAGAGAACAAGAAAAGCACAGAGAGGAAAGGTAGATGGGATAATTTAAGATAAGAAAAGCTGGCTAGAAACAGGCCAAGCTAAGGCCAGGCACTCATAACTAAGAATAAGCCTCCATGTGTGATTTACTTGAGAGCTGGGTCGTGCCCCACCTCCCAAAGAGCCAAAGAGTATAAAACAACCAGCATCAACCAGTTCAGAATAGAGCAGCACCTGAGAGTCCCCAGAGAAGGTACACAAAGATGACCAGGACAGCCCCTGTCCAGGGCCACCCTACTTCCATTTGCTTTTATGACTGCAGCCAGAACAGGGAAGAATCAGAGGTCTGTGGGGCAGGGAGGGAGGATAGGAGAGGGATGTCCCTTCCTACAAAATGCAACCCAGGAGATCACGTGTTTCTGTTTTTGCTTCGTTTTCATGTGACTTGTAACTGTTTTCTACAGGAAGGATAGATTGCTGTTTCAACAAGGAAGATTTTAAGGACAAAGAGAAAGGAGGTTCCCAGTGTGCATTTTCTGTCCCCTCCCTTTCCCATAGTTGCAGGGTCCATGGCCTCCTTGTGAGAACTCTGCTGGCATCACTGAGGCATGAGGGTGGGACAGAGGGGCCCAGGAGGCAGCCTCTCCCAAGCCACTGCCCTCTGCCCTCTGACAGGCCTGGAGACCACCTCTACCCTCCCCACTCTCCTAGGCCCTTCATTTGCTTCTCTGCCTCCCTGGAGCCTCTGGTTCCATCTGGGAAGTCATGGTGCTGGCTTGGGATTTCACATTTCATATGACTAAATGCACTTTCAGTTTTCTCAAATCCAGATGTTGACAGATTCCTGGAGCTACCCTCTCTTTTCACAGCTGCCTCGGACTAAGCCCTAGCTATGTAGCAAGTTCAAGGCCAGCTTGAGGTATCTATCTAAAAACAAATCTATCTTTAAAAAATCAACAGAAAGTAAAATAAAATACAATAGCACAGGCTGCCTAGG